AGAGGCCCGCATACCGCAAAAAAAAAAAAAAAAAGTATTTCTATGTTTATGTGTATACACGTGTGTGTGTATGTGCATATAGATGCTTGAATATGTTTTTTAATAGAAATGGTGCATTAATGGGGAATTTTAAAATTTCGAGTGCCTGAACTATATCATTCAAACTGGCTTACTCAAGAAAAGAATATTTATTGACTCATAAAACAAACCTAAGAAAAGTCAGGGTTATTTCTGGCCTCAGTGACCAAAGACTCAAATATTCTCAGGGCTGCCTCCTGGCTTCTGCTCTTCTCTTCCCTCTCTCTGTGTTCACCTCATTCTCTCAGACTGCAGTTCGGCTGGTGGGAAACAAGGCTGCCAGTAGCCTGCAGCTTCACATCTCCCCATTTTCACTTCCAAGAAGGAAAAGGTCCTTTTCCTTTGGTTCTAGCTTAAAAAGTCCCCGGGAAGGTCCCTGACAGGCTCAGCTTGGGTTACTCGCATACTCCCTGACAAGTTGTCATGGGCAAGTTGGCCCAGTTCTGTGATTGCCTCAGTGTTGGTCAAGTGCCACCTCTAATCCAAACCCTGTGACAGAGGGAAGGTCACGTAATCAGATGGCAGTTCCCATCTGAACCACTGGGTGCTGTTTTCTAATGAAAGATCGGGTGCTCTTGCCCCTAGAAGAATAGTGTGCTGGTAGACAAATGACAGATACTCACTACATACAAATGGGATTATATTTCAGTAACCGTTTTGCAACTCATAAAAAACTTTTCATTTTTCCATGTTCTACGACATAATTTCAATGATAATAGAATTTAATGGCAGAATAGTATTCTATTCTGGAATGCAAACATGACAACTGGAAGTGACAATGAGGACAAGAGCCACACACTAAGGTTGGCAGAGCAGGAAGAGAGGACGCCTAGATCTCTGATATCATCTCAGAGTCGCTGCACCAGCGCTACACTTCTTGTTTTTTTGGTTTTTGGTTTATTTATTTATTTATTTATTTAGGCCGCACCTCAGGGCAAGTGGAACTTCCCTGACCAGGGATGAACTGGCGTCCCCTGCACTGGAAGCACGGAGTCTTAACCACTGGACCGCCAGGGAAGTCCAGCCCTACACTTCTTTTTTTTTTTTTAATACATTTATTTATTTATTTATTTATGACTGCATTGGGTCTTCGTTGCTGCGCGTGGGCTTTCTCTAGTTGTGGCGAGCGGGGGCTACTCTTTGTTGCGGTGCACGGGCTTCTCAAGGTGGCTTCTCTTGTTGCAGAGCACGGGCTCTAGGTGCACAGGCTCTAGGGCTTCAGTAGTTGTGGCACATGGGCTCAGTAGTTGTGGCTTGCGGGCTCTAGAGCGCAGGCTCAGTAGTTGTGGCGCACGGGTTTAGTTGCTCCGCGGCATGTGGGATCTTCCCGGACCAGGGCTCAAACCTGTGTCCCCTGCATTGGCAGGCAGATTCTTAACCACTGCACCACCAGGGAAGTCCTACACTTCTTGATACATGAGAAAAATAACACCTGTTTTGGCTAAACCACAGTGGTCAAGTCCTGTTCCCTATAAATGTACTTCCAGGCAGCCATTAAAAGTAGGCCAGGAAATTTATCATCAATGAAGGGGGGATGAGCAGTGATGCTAAGAACCCCAGAGAGGTTGAAAGGGAAACTGAAATAATGGAAAGTACAGCCTATTTTTTTTTTGAGCTATTAAAGGAAACTGACCCATAAAGCATCCCTGAGTCAACATGAGGCAGTTACAGCAGGGTGGAAATGACAGCCACAGCTGAACTGAGCAGAAAGAGGGTTAGAGGTAGTACCCAAGGCTTCTTTGATGCTATGTAGCATGAAGGGTTCCAGAATTCCCAAGAGCTCCCAGTGAAGGGGATGGAAGTAGCTGAAGCTGGAGCTAGGAAGCATCCCAAAGCGTCACCGTGTGACCCAAGGCTTCTGGGTAGCAGACGAAGAAGGCATCAGAGAAAAAAGACCACCAGGCTTGAATGGGGAAGGAGGGGATGCGACCAGTACAGAGGCCAGAGCAGAGCTCTGGTTAGGCGTGAGCTGCACCTCAAGTGGAGTGAGCAGGAGCTGGTGGAGATCAGCTGGAGAACCAGGGTCCTTTCTCCTTGCACCTGAATAACATCTTGGGAAGGGAGTAAGTGGAGGGAAGACCTCTGGAGGAGACAGCTCTCAGAGGGAATATGAATTTCAAACTGACTAAGATTTACCCAAAAGTAGACTTTTTTTTTTTAACCCAGAAGAGACTGTTAACTGGTAAGCTGAAGGACTGCCCAGTAAAGAGAATCTCCTGAGAAATCAAAGTTCAGTTATAGAGATATTTTTAAAATTTTTGTACATTTGGCTCATAGTGTATGCATTGTGACTCCCCCCAACCCCAAGTGCCCCATACATATAGATCTCTACTATAAGTTTCCTTAAAGAGGTGTCACAGGAGTTTGACATTATGTCACAAGGAAAATGTCCTAAAATCTGCTTTAGACCTGTGAGAGCCAGCCACAATGACTCTTGCTTCCTAGTGTTCATGTCCTTGTGTAGTCCTCTCCCACACTGTACCAGGGTTGGTCTGTGTGACCAAGAGCATATGGCAGAAGGGGTGGCATATCCCTTCCAAGATTAGGTTCCTATCTCTCGTAGATCACTCACTCTGGGGAAACCAGCTGCCCTGTTATGAAGACAGGCCTGCGTGAGGAAACAGCCATATGAGTGATCTTGGAAGCAGGTCCAGCCCCAGTAGGGCCTTCAGATAACTGCAGCCCCAACTGACATCCAGACTGTAACCTCGTGAGAGACCCACAATTAGAGACACTCAGCTAACCTGACTCACAGAAACTGTAAGATAATAAATGTCTGTTGTTTTAAACTACTAAGTTTGAGGGTAATTTGTTATGCAACAAAAGATAAAAAATATACTCCCTCTCATAAAAATTTCAGTTATAGCACCTGCCAAAAATCTTTCTCTTTTCATTCTCCAAGAGGTCCTTTCACAGTTTCGCTCCCCTCCCCCACTCCTCCTCTCTGCCACATTCTTTTTTTTTTTTTTAATATTTATTTATTTATTTTGGCTGCGGCAGGTCGTAGTTGTGGTACACAGACTTCTTAGTTGTGGCATGCGGACTCCCAGCTGTGGCACGCATGCATACAGAATCTAGTTCCCCGACCAAGCATCAAACCCAGCCCCCCTGTATTGGGAACTCGGAGTCTTACCCACTGGACCACTAGGGGAGTTCCTCTCTACCACACTCTTAAGCACCCAAATCCCAACAGGTTATGGTCCTTAAAAAAAATAATTAAAAAAATAAAGTAAAGATGTAAAAAATATATTAATAAATAATAAAATAAAATAAAGATCAAAAAAAACAAACCAAAAAAAACAAAAAAACAGGTTATGGTCCTCTCTCCAAGTGGCCACCTGAGGTACATGGTCTTGTTTTCTCTACTTGACTTCCTTGTGGAGACCAAGCTTCTCTGCCCCCCTGCCCACGCTTTCCACCTTCTCCCCACACACCTGATAATGGTGAATAAGAGACTGGGCCAAAAGAAATAAGCCAGAGAGAGAGGGAGAGAGAGAGAGAGAGAAGGGGGCAGGTGATAGGCATCAGCCAGACTCTGTGATTCTTCATTCATCTTCCCTCCACACTCCCTGCTGATTGATTGAAGAACTACAGAATCTCCCCCCATGGCAGAATACCAGAAAGACTCCTGAGAGGCCTAGAGATGCCTTTGATTCTCTAGGGCCTGAGCTATGTTCCAGTCACATGAGGCCTGGAAACCTCTAGGTTTCCTGGACGTTCCTTGCTGTTCCTGCAAAGCAAGACCAGACATTTGTTTATAGTGGACAGAATTCCCTAAACTGCGATTGTGGTTATCTCGCAGATGACTACAATTATATAGCAAATACTAACTGAGACGCCACTGGTTATATGAAAAAAAGAAGAAAAGACAAAATATTACTTTGTATTTAGTGTCTTTTATGGTTCTCCCCTATTGGACTGTGAGCTTCATGAAAGCAAGGATCACGTGTGATTCCTGTGGGTAACCACAGTGCCCAGAACAGTCTTGAGTACAGAACATTCCCAGTGAATATTTGTTAGAAGATGCACCATACATGTTTGTTGAAGGAATGGTTGAATTAGCATCAAAGGAGTCTTCTGCATTAGCCCATTGGCTGGTAATTCTAAGCTTTTTACAGTTCATCGCAAAATGTACTTTCCTTTTTTCAGCTGGAGTGAATCAAGAGTAGACAGGCGTGTTTTTTTCATTGTGAGGAAAGGCTTTTATTATTTTTTAGGTTCTGCCCCGGCCCCCCCCCGCAAAGAGAGCCAACACTGGCTCTCACGTAAGATCCAGGAGTCTCCGCAGTTTGGAACCCAACACCACATTTCCTAGAATACTTGACGCCCTCCCAGGCCTCCTCTGGCTATAATGGAAAAGGGATATGCCTGGGAACTGTGCTGCTAATAGAAGGAAGCAGAACGTCTGTTTTCCACTAACGGCTCCTGATTGGGGTTTGTTATGCCCAGTCTGAATTGGCCTGGAACTTGGCCGCTGCTCTGGCCGCCCCGGGGTAAGGCGGGGGACCCAGCAGAGGCGGCTGCACCGCAAGGTTATAGCGCTGAGCTGCTCCACGCTCTGGAAGGTGCCAGAGCGCGGGAGATGCTGTGGTTGGTAAAGGCTGCTCTGCGCTAGTCAGGTGAGGCCTGGAGGTTCGCATCTGCAGATCCATATTTGGGTGTACAGTCTTTGGATCCTCTTCTCAGCTCTGAAGAGGTGGTTCCAGCGGTTGGGTAGCTCGGGTGAACTGGGTTTAGTTAGCCCTTGTCACCACTCGGAACTGGGCGTCCCGGGGCTCCCAGTCCTTTGAGGTCTTGCTCAGGACTACATTTCCCAAAAGGCTCCGCGGTGATTGAAAGCTCTATCAGCCTATGGACGGGGGAGACTTCTCGTCCCAGAAACTGAAAAGCCAATGGCAAGAGGACGGGGGCGGTATTTTCCGGCTGCTGGCTGTCTTGTCCAGAGTCCCACCTGTGTCCCCACAGCCCTGTCACGAATCACAGTCGGGTTCTGGGCGGGACTGCCACGGCGTTGCGGGCCGGGTGCGGCTCGGCGGTGGAGGACTCTCACTTCGTGCTCCATCCCGGGCTGGGCCCCGGGGCGGTGAGTGATCCGGGGAAGGAGACTGCGGCTGCAGCCTGGGCGCTGCTGAGGGGCGTGGATGGGGCTTGCCCGCCGCCCCGGCGTTGTCTCTGCCGGGTCCTCGCGCTCGCCTTTTCGAGCCCGCGGGTCTTGCTGAGGAGTGGGGAGAGGTAGCTGCGCTTTTCTCTGCCCGCGTCGGGATAGCTCATCCTCTTAATTTTTTTGCTCCTCGGTGGTGATCCTCTGGTTTCAGCTTAGCTTTGCGACCCTTTGACCGCTGCACCTAGATTAGGGCCTACAGCACCGCGAGGGAGGAGAATGGGTGTCGGCCCTACCCGTGCGGTCATGTTCCTATTAATAAACCCAGTGAACAAACTAGTGCTTCTCACAATGGCACTTAGTCACAGCACCTCAGCGGTCTAGGGCCTTTGAGGTCTCCTGTACGGGGGGGCAGGAGACCGGGTGGGAAACAGGGTTTCTCTAACCTTGGCTAAGAACTCTCCATCCCGATGTCTCCTGCAGGTGGGCCCTGCTGTTGGGTTTTGTAATGAATGGAGAAATAAAATGTATGCTCAGAACTCATTACAGTTTTCACTTCCTAATGACATTATTTTTGTTTGTTAAGGTTTTAAACCAGAGAGATGAAATGTATTCCCACGGCTTTTAGGCTCCTAAAAACCCAGTACTTTATAAGTGACGAATAGCAATATGTGTAAATGCATAAATGTCTCCTGCAGGTGGGCCCTGCTGTTGGGTTTTGTAATGAATGGAGAAATAAAATGTATGCTCAGAACTCATTACAGTTTTCACTTCCTAATGATATTATTTTTGTTTGTTAAGGTTTTAAACCAGAGAGATGAAATGTATTCCCACGGCTTTTAGGCTCCTAAAAACCCAGTACTTTATAAGTGACGAATAGCAATATGTGTAAATGCATAAATGTTTCCATGAAAAGTGTGTGTATTCTAGTAGTGCACAGGTGCTCTGATTGGTGAGACAAAAGATGTGAAAGAGTAAAAGTTCATCACCCCGGTATGATCCATCCTCCACTGAAATGCAGAATTCTTTGTAGAAGGTTCATCTGTTCAATCAGCTGGCTGATTATATTTGTTTTTAGTGGAAACTCTTTAAGGGGGAAAACAAACAAAAAACAAACATTATCCTATATTACTTTGTGACTCCTAATGCCTAATAGAATATTAATTATTGAATAAATTACTGATCCATCCAGTAACCTGACCATCTTCCCCCAAATAATTTTTTCATGATAGTGATATTAATTTTATTAATGTGTTAATGATTGTTTTCAGCCCCCAAGCATTTTGTTTTGTGCTTATCGCCATTAAATTTCACTTCATTTTACAGCTTATCCATGTTGTTTTTTAAAATCCATGCCTTTTTAAGTCCCATTTCTGACTGCATTAAACCTTGAAATAGAATGATACCTAGGGCAGTTCCTTTTGGGCTTCTGCATAGTTTGTCCCTTGAAGTTGACACTAAATCTACAAGCCAGGAAAAGTCAGCTATTCTCATAACTAATATGAGTCTAGTGAAGTCCGCAATTTCCTACCTAGCTGAGGAAAATGTAGTTGGAGAGAATCCAGAGCTTTCCAGAAATCGAGTTATACCTGTGCACTCTCTCCTCTGTTTATCTTGTCCATCATGGACAATTTGTTCCTCAAAAAGTTAATGTCTCCAAAAGACATTCTGCAGATGTGTTTGGGAGGCCCAGGACTCATTTTGTAATGAGAAAGTTGGCCAAAGGAAAGATTATGTTAAAACAGAATAAGAAAAGCATCCCTTCTGTGGTTGACAGCATTTACCTCAGAGCTATTCTGGTCAGCGGGTTTTGTTTAGGTATGTTGGGGCCATAGTGGCTGTATTTTGGTTTTGAGACAATGGTGAGAATATCTAAAGAGCTCTTGATGCATACTGAGGTCTCTTGCTGTAGGAACTGATGATGTGGCTGGGGACTTCAGGGACGAGTGGATTACCTGGACACTGCTTAGAGAGTCCTCTTCAGGGATACCACCCAGCACAGTTAGAAGAATGGGCTCTCAAAGGGTAAGGATGCTACTCTCCTTTATCTTAGATATTTTGAGAGGGTCCAGATCTGAGTGGTCTCTATGGTTGTTGGTCTCTTAGAGCTTCAGATCTCTGTGAGAGTAATTGTTACCTCCCTGGCAGAAAAAGAATGACTTCCATTTTTATGGCACTTAGTAGTTTGCAAATTTATTTGATATTTATTGTCTTACTGATATCTCACCATAACTCTTTGATGTATTTTCATCCCCCTTTTCCAACTCAGGACCCTGAGACTCAAAAAGTTAAGTGGCAGAGGTGAGAGTTCAACCCAGGTCTTTGTGGAAAAGGGGGAGCTCTCCCCATGGTTTTTTTCCTGTCACTTAAAAACAAACAAACTATATTTCTTTGTCCAGTGCTCTTTCTAAAATACTGTAGCAGGACTCCCCTGGCCGTCCAGTGGATAAGACTCCACGCTCCCACTGCAGGCGGTGCCAGTTCAATCCCTGGTCAGGGAACTAAGATCCTGCAAGATGCACCGTGTGGCCAAAAAAAAAAAAGGGGGGGGGGGAATACCATGGCAATGCCTTCTCTCTGCTTTACTTCATATCTAATACACAAGTGTTATGTACTCACAAAAAAAAGGCAAGCAAAATGAAAACAAAAGTCATCCATCCTACTTCTGAAGAGTTACGATCCTTCCAGCCATTTTCCTAAGCATATATACAATTAAAAAAAAAAAAAGAAAAGAAAAAAATTGGGATCATACTGAATATTCAGTTGTAAATCTTACTTTCTTATACATTGTATTGTGAATATATTTTGACAACAATAAATATCTGTACATTACTTAAAATAACTACTTAGTATTTTGTTTTATGGAATACAGCAGTTACATTAAATTGAACCATATATGTGACCATTTTTTGACCACTTTTTACCTATAAACTGACAATTTCATATGGCTCAATCAAATGTAATTATTTCTTCGTTGAGGGACATTTAGGTTATTTCAAATTTTCAGCTATATTGTGATGATGATCTCTTAGCTAATTGTCTTTTTGAAAGTATTGTTTATTGAAGCGTAATTAGTTAATAATTAGCTAATATATCTTTTGCACAACTTTCTTTCTTTTTCTTTTTTTTTTTTTTTTTGGTTTTACTTTTTTTCATTTCCTTAGAATTCCCAGAATTAGAATTGCTTGGTTTGAGAATAGATTTCTAAGGTATTTGGTGTTTTTGAAAAATGCCTTCCAAAAAGATTGAATCAAGCTATTTATTTTTGTTAGCATTGTATGAAAATGTCCATTTCTTCATATTCTATCATGGTAGGTATCATAATCTAAGAGTCTGGGTAAAATAATAGTGATAGCTAACATTTACTGAGGACTTAATCACTTAATCCTCACGACAACTCTGTAAGGTGGGTTTTATCATTATCCCTAATTTATAGATGAAGACACTGAGACACAGAGAGTTTAAGTAACTTTCCTGAGGTCACACAACTAGTAAGAGGCAGAGTTAGGATTCAAATTCAGGCAATATGACTCTTGAGTTTGCACTCTTTACCTCTACACTATATTGCCTAAGTGTATCATTGTTTTAATTTGAATTTCTTTGGTTAATGTTGAGGTTTAAAGTTTTCCATATATTTATAAGCTGCTTTTATTTTTTTCTTTTCTGAATTGCCTATTCATGTTCTTTGTCCATTTTTTGGTTTATGTTTTGTTTTTTTCTTACAAGTGTTTGTCTTTTTCTCATGGCAATACCAACTGCTGCCCTTCTGGGAAAATTTAAAAAGTAAACATGGGGCTTACCTGGTGGCACAGTGGTTAAGAATCCGCCTGCCAGTGCAGGGGACACGGGTTCATGCCCTGGTCTGGGAAGATCCCACATGTGGCGGAGCATCTAAGCCCATGCGCCACAACTACTGAGCTTGCGCACTAGAGCCCGCAAGCCACAACTACTGAAGCCCACATGTCTAGAGCCCATGCTCCACAACAAGAGAAGCTACCACAATGAGAAGCCTGCGCACCGCAGCTAGAGAAAGCCTGCATGCAGCAAAAAAGACCCAACGCAGCCAAAAATAAATATTTTTAAAATAAATAAATAAAAAGTAAACATTATAGTTATAGTTAACTTCCTTGATTTTTTCTAAGGGGGAGGTCATGGCAGCTTTGTTTTGATAAAATTATATCTCCATGTGGGTTTAGCCTTGTGCCTTGAGAGATGAGTTATTGTGCTCATTCTAGAGTTTCTATCACCCGAGTCTGATTTTTTGTTTTAATGGGAGGAAAAGAGCTTTTTCTCAGCCTCTTGGGGAGAGCACCCTTTTTTATCACTTCATCATGGCTGCCCTTTTAATGAGACTTAACACACATTGGAGTTTCCTGGGGTGTTCTCCCCCACCTAGGGAAGAAGGGGGGATTGCATTTTGCTCAGGCCTTGTGTGATGGCTCACATTAACATCCTGTGTTCACCTTCCTTATAGGACTTCTAGACCAAGTGCAATCTCCCAGCTAGAGCAGAAGGAAGAGCCATGGGTCCTACCACTCCAAAATTTTGAGACTAGGAAGATCCTGAGGGAAAGTCACACAGGTGAGATGTGTTACCCGGTGGACAGAAATCTAGTGTTTCAGCCCTTGTTTAAATGAGGAATTTGGAATGCTGCCCTAGACTTGTTCTTACTATTAGAAGGTTAAATTTGACTTCCTGGGCAATCAGTCATTGACCAGATAAAGTCTTCATTTTAAGTAAACATTTCACTTTTGTCTAGACTCTAACATCTTTGAAAGGAGTTGCCCAATTTTGACAATATGTGGTATACTCTTGATATGAAAGTCCCCTCAAGATTCACCTGACCATCTTAAAATAAAAAGGGCTTAGGAATTCATGTTTTCTGTAAGCTCAATGATCTTCAATAAACTTTTCAGAAAGTGAAAACGAGAGTAGTCCAGCTAAGTGTGGTCTGTTGCAAAAACACTAATTTTAATCTTTCTTGCTGCTTTCTGATGATCTTTCCTGATAAGTGATAACTTTATTCTCTGTTACTTCTGTTAATTTTTCAGACTTTAAGAATCAGGTGGTAAAACTCAATCAGGACATTTCTGAAACAGCAGAACAATGTGGAACATCCTCAGAAAGGGCCAAGAAAGATATTTCTCATACTCCTCGTTGGGGAGGAAACTGGGAGAGGGGTGTTGAATTAGAAGGGCAGCATGGAACCCTTCTAGGAGAGGGCCAGCAGGAGCCCTTTTCACAGGAGAAGGAATTAAACAAGCTCCTGGAAGGATATATAGGAAAGAAGCCGATGTGTGCAAAATGTGGAAAAAGCTTTAACCAGAGTTCCTATCTCATAAGACACCTAAGAACCCATACCGGTGAGAGGCCTTATAAATGCATGGAGTGTGGGAAAGGCTTCAAACAGAGTTCAGACCTTGTCACCCACCACAGAACACACACAGGGGAGAAACCCTACCAATGCCATGGATGTGAGAAAAAATTCAGCGACAGCTCAACCCTCATCAAACATCAGAGAACCCACACAGGTGAGAGACCCCATGAGTGCCCAGAGTGTGGGAAGACTTTCGGACGGAAACCACACCTCATAATGCACCAAAGAACCCACACAGGAGAGAAACCCTACACGTGCCTCGAGTGTCATAAAAGCTTTAGTCGCAGCTCCAATTTCATCACCCACCAGAGGACCCACACGGGAGTGAAGCCTTACAGGTGTAATGACTGTGGGGAGAGTTTCAGCCAGAGCTCGGATTTGATTAAGCACCAGCGAACCCACACAGGAGAACGGCCCTTTAAGTGCCCGGAGTGTGGGAAGGGCTTTAGAGATAGTTCCCATTTTGTGGCTCACATGAGCACTCACTTAGGAGAAAGGCCGTTCAGTTGTCCTTACTGCCACAAAAGTTTCAGTCAGAGCTCGCATCTGGTCACGCACCAGAGGACACACACAGGTGAGAGGCCTTTTCAGTGTGACAGCTGTGGGAAAGGATTTGCCGACAGCTCTGCCCTCATCAAGCACCAACGGATCCACACAGGAGAAAGACCGTATAAATGTGGCGAGTGTGGGAAGAGCTTCAATCAGAGCTCCCACTTCATTACCCATCAACGAATCCACTTAGGAGACAGACCCTATCGCTGTCCTGAGTGTGGCAAAACCTTCAATCAGCGTTCCCATTTTCTCACACACCAGAGAACACATACGGGAGAAAAACCGTTTCACTGTAGTAAATGTGACAAGAGCTTCCGACAGAAGGCACACCTTTTGTGCCATCAGAACACCCATTTGATCTAGAAAATAGTCTTTAATGGTTCTCCTCCTCCCTTTCAAATTTCCATTGCTATTATCGTTAAGCGCTCCAAATAGAGAAGACCTGAGACTGGGTGTCGGCGGCTCAAGTCAGGCCCTGATCTGTTCTCTTTTGCCGTGCTTTAATGGCGAGGATAAACCTACAGGGTCCAAATAATGTTCTAAACACAAAAGGCATTCCTTCAGTGTTTTTGACTGACTCTTAGACAGAAAAGTGTGAGTTTAATGCTTGATGCCTGGTTACTAAAAGAGAAGTGAGATAAATGTAGTCACATTCTCATCATTAATGATTCATATTTGATATCTTATACAAAGCCCTTGATACAATGCCTGGCCTTTAAAAGATACTCAATACAGGGTTGGTTGCTTTAATCAGCCTTATTACTCAATAAGGAATTTATTATTGCAGCCCCACAAGCCCAGAACTTGCAAGAAATTAGACTGGAACTAGAAGATTTGGGGTGTGAACACATAGGTTTAATAAAACAGAAAATACTCTCCTAATCCAGTGCTATGCAGTCACCAGATGTCTCATTGCCATGACAAGGCAGAATTATTGTAGAGGATGTCTGCAGTCTTGTGACTTGGAGACTAGAAGAATTTTAGAAGCTCTTTGTACAGCAGTGTATGAGGTACTCCCCCTGGAGGTTTGCTGCCATCTGAGGCATAGAAAATATCCTGTGATGAACAGCCCAGAGGAACCTGGATGAGGACTGTAAAATTCTGGAAACAAAGTTGCTGAGAATGTTAAATGATATTGCAGGGATCCTTCCTGGCATTTAGCTGAAGGATGTAACCCTTGTTTTGTAATTTGCTGGGTCACTGGCCTTTTAGTTGTAGGTTAACGCAAGTCTCTGATCCTTTTAGGGTCATTCATTTTATACACTAGTATTGCCCTCTATTTAATTGAAGAAATGGAGGGAAGGCAGTGTGTTGGAAGTCACACTGACTTCGTTGAGAAGGTGAGGTGTTTGTGTCTTGGCCCCTTGACACCGAATTTGGCCAGACTTTCCCCTTCTCTCAGGCCCTACCTTACTTACCTCACAAAGTTATTGTGAGGATCTGATACATATACACGCACACTCACACACACGCAAGCACTTTGTTGTTAAACTATAAAGTGTAATACCTGTAAAGTTTTAATGTTACGGTATTGTTGCCAGTGTCTTTTCTTCCAAGGAGCTGTGGCTAATGTTTCCGAAGGTGTCCCACTTTCTCTCATATTGAGGGACTTCTTTTTTTACCTATTGAAAACCTAAGGCCTTCAAATGCTCAACTCTATGTGACTCATTACGGGTCACGTGATGAACTAACGGAAGAGCCAGGATATCTCTGCAGGTCTCCTCTTCAGCGACGTGGAACAGACCAGCTCTGGGATTTGTTAGAGTGTCTCTGAGACACCACAGGCCTGGAGGACCCATATTATATCCATCAAACCACTCTGAATTTGGAAATGCTGGAGGGATGTAGCCTAAGTTCCCGAGAGCTTTATAGGGTCCTGTGCTGGGGTCCTCGATCCTCATGGCAGATATAAGTGGTTAAGGAGGGGAGTTGGGTGTTGAACACTCCGGAGAGAAGAGTGGGGGACTGAAAGTGTTTTCTTTCAAGCTTTCCTGTGACAATACAGACTAAATTAGTACATCAGCCTTGGAACACTAGTTCTCTGCCGTTATATGGAGTGCCACCTGAGTACTGTAACTCATGCGGGGATAGAACTCAGCTGATAACCTAAACTCTTTCTTTAATAGGTAATTATCAGAAGAAAAAAAAAAATCTGGGGCTTCCCTGGTGGCGCAGTGGTTGAGAGTCCACCTGCCGTTGCAGGGGACATGGGTTCGTGTCCCGGTCCGGGAAGATCCCACATGCCGTGGAGCGGCTGGGCCCTTGAGCCATGGCCGCTGAGCCTGCGTGTCCGGAGCCTGTGCTCCGCAACGGGAGAGGCCACAACAGTGAGAGGCCCGCGTACCGCAAAAATAAAATAAATAAAAAATCTGGTTAATCCAGAGCTGTAAATTCTTAAAATGTGAGCCCAGACCAGTAGCATTATCATCAACTGGGAACTTGTTAGAAATGCAAATTCTAAGTCCCCACCCCAGACCTACTGAACTGGAAACTCTAGGGGTGGGGTCCAGCAATATGTGTCTTAATAAGCCCTCCAGGTGATTATAGTGCATACTCAAGGTTGAGAACCACTGCTTTAAAAGGTAGCTCTTCTACTAAATGTAGACACAGTACTATTATTGCTCCTACCAAAAATGAACAGTGATTTTGTAATCATCAAATACTCCAGTCAATGTTCACATTTCCCTAATTATCTTGTGTTTTTTGTTTTTTGGGGGTTTTTTTGGCCTTGCCGCATGGTTTGTGGGATCTCAGTTCCCCGACCAGGAATTGAACCTGGGCCACTGCAGTGAAAGTGCCGAGTCCTAACCACTGGACTGCCAAGGAATTCCCTGTTTTTATTTTTTCGAGACCAAATAAGGTCTCTACATTCAATTGGTTGATATATTCCTTACAAAATCCTCCTTCTTCTCTCTCTCTCTTTTTTTTTTTTTTTTTTTTTTTTTTTTTGTGGTACGCGTGCCTCTCACTGCTGTGGCCTCTCCCGTTGCGGAGCACAGGCTCCGGACGCGCAGGCCTAGCGGCCATGGCTCACGGGCCCAGCCGCTCCACGGCATGCGGGATCCTCCCGGAGCGGGGCACAAACCCATGTCCCCTGCATCGGCAGGCGGACTCCCAACCACTGAGCCACCGGGGAAGCCCTCTCTTTTTCTTGTATTTCATTTGTTGAAAAAAAACCTTGTCCTTTAACTGTCTCCCACAGGTCTGTATTTGGCTAATTCCATCCTATGGGGGTCCTTTAACATGCTCCTTTATCCTCTGCTTTCCTAATATTGGTAGTTGGATCTGTAAACATGATCAGGTTCAGATTTGGGAGAGGGGGGGCAAGAATACTCCATAGTGATCTTATGTAACTTCTGTCAAGAGGTACCTGGTGTTTTGTTTTTGTTTTCGTTCTGTCTCTTTTCTTGTGATGTTAGCAACCATCGATAAGCCCTGATTTCACTTCGGTTTTGCCAAATGATGGTATTTTAAATCCATCACTCCTTCTTCATTTATTAGCTGAAATACTTCTATAAAGAGAACTACCCCTAATCAACTATTTGGTTTCCCTGTGGTACAGTTTGTATAGGAACAGCACAACAGCTACTTGATTAGGACTCCTTTGATTTTTTTTTTTTAATATCACTATATAAATTTTGGCCTCCATGCCTTAGACTTCGGAGCCCCTTTCAGTGAGAGACTCTTCTCTGACAGGACATTTATACATGCATACAACTCAGAGTAACTTTTCTCATGGCCTTTGATGTTTTTCTCCTGCCTACTCCTCTCCAGTTTGTCTAGGTTTGCCAGAAAGCAGTGTGCTAGAGAGCTCACTAAATACTTGAGTGATTCCTCAGGGATGGACTTGCTAAGTTGCCAATTAATATTTCCTGATACTATCCAGGCCTGAAAACAGGAGAGGAAATTACATTCCCATTAGCTGGGAATGGTTTTACATCCCTTTCATGGTAATATGAGAGTATACCATCTTCATTTATCTTATCTACCCAAGCATTGTTCTAAATCAAATATGATCAGTATGTTAAATAGTAACAGCAATAAAGTATAACAATCAGATCAGAAGGTAAAGGAAAAAAGCTGGCGGGCAGAGGTACGGGGTAATTCATGTGAAATCCAGCGGTACCATCTCTCCAGGGGAGGAAGTGTTTCGGACTGGGGCGGGGGTACAACAGGCAATGAGGAAGTTCGGACATTCTGAGAATCTGGCACTGGATTAATGTGAAATGTCCTAGAAGAGTGTCCTGCAAGAAGGAGTCAGTTAGAGGATATGGAGGGACACAAAAGCTGCATTATTAGCACAAGCAGGCATAATCCTCACCCCAGCTAGGAATGTGATGTGTGCTCATGGTCTGTGAGCAGCCCTAGATTTAGGAGGCAGGGTGTGGAAGCAGCACAGAACCAGGGGTCTGAAGAGCCAGCCTCTGGTTTTGGTGAGGTTATTTACTAGCCAACTGGTTTTGGACAGGTCAGTTGGTCACTCTAGGCTTCAGTCTATCTGAGAAATCAGAAAAAACATCTTTGTCTCTAACACTTTACAAATTTGGGGCTCTCACAGACCCTAGCATCGTCCACGTTGAGAGCAAGCGCTTCCACATGGACACCTTCAAGCTCTGAGGGGATAAAAGCAGGTCGTCGATAGCCTGGCTCCCTCTCTCTCTCCCTCTCCTCGGCCCTCCCCAGGCTCCGGCCCCTCCTATGCCGACTTCCTAATAGTATTTAACAGACAGCTCACTGGCTTATAACATAAATGGTCTTTTTCTTTCACCCTGTTTCTCATATTGTACAGATGTGTCTACCTTATAAGATGTGAGCTCTTGAGAGGCGATGCATGACTTGCTTTGCGGCTCTGCTACCTGCCCCCTACCCCGCGCCCCCCAGCCATGAGCAGGGAATACTTAAATGGTATTGGTGAGAGTCAAGATGACTGACTTTTCATAGTTCCCTTTGTTTCTACCCTATGACTGGGCTTCTTGCACATTCTCCACACCTCCTCTCTCCCTCACTTCATAATCCACATCATCACCAAGCCCTATCAGCTTTACCTCCCAGATTCCTCTCAACCCCATCTGTCAGCCGTCCCATCTCCACCACCAAGCTCTAGTCCCAGGGGACCACTGTCTCTTGTCTGAATTCCTGCAGTGGCCTCCCAACTGACGTCGCAGGTTTGATTTGATTTTATATATATTTTTTTATTTATTTATTTATTTATTTATTTATTTATTTATTTATTTAGTGGTACGCAGGCTCTCACTGTTGTGGCCTCTCCCGTTGCGGAGCACAGGCTCCAGACGCGCAGGCTCAGCAGCCATGGCTCATGGGCCCAGCCGCTCCACGGCATGTGGGATCTTCCCAGACCGGGGCACGAACCCGTGTCCCCCGCATCGGCAGGCAGACTCTCAACCACTGCGCCACCAGGGAAGCCCTTATCCTCTTTTATTTTCATTAAAGGCTTTACACCTTCCTGATCTTTTCTTGTTTACTTATTTGTTTTGGTAAACTTCACTGAGGGGAGGGAGCCATTTCTCCTATTTGCCATTCTTTCCCTGGCACCTAAAACAGT